GTGAAGATGTGCAAGGCCACTTGCCGGAGCGGGGTCACCCGCCAGGATACGACATGGACACTTCTTACTACGTTCCTTTATGCTCCACGGATCCGGATAGCAAATATGATCTGGACTCCGATGAGCACGGGAAGTACATCGAGCTCTGCTTCACAGCAGACATGTCCAAAGTCGTCCTGTCCGAGCAGCAACGCCGATTGTTGGATGACAGCAGCGTCACAACCATGCGAGTATACGTCAGTGCTGCCTCCAAACGTGCCGTGGTCGTCAAGGAAGACGATCTACTCACGAAAGCCGACATTCAAGCGAATCCGGTCAAAGTTTCCAAAGCCCTTTGCACAGAATTGAAGACTTGGCTTGGCAATAAATGCTTTCAGATGACTGACTTGAGCAAAGCGTCTAACATCATGACTTCACGCTACGTATACAAATGGAAGTTTGTCAAGAACGAAAAGGGCGAAATGGAAAGGACGATCAGGTTACGCTTGGTACTCCGTGGCTTCATGGACCTTGAAGCCTTTGACGTCGAAACCTTCTCTGGCACGGCAAGGAGGTCAAGCCAGAGACTGCTCGCAAGTTCTGCTGCATGCAACAAAGCTTGGATCATCGCTTCCCTGGACATCAACATGGCTTTCTTGAAGGGACTGACCTATAGCGAGCTCGCCGCGGCAACGGGCGAGAAAGAGCGTGTGGTGTGCTTCACGCTACCTCCTGGGTCAGCAGCTGTCCTTCGCACACTGCCAGGCTTTGAGTCATATGACGAATCAAAGCATTGTCTTCGGTGTCTGAAGCCGGGGACGGGCGCGAAGGATGCTCCCAGGGCATTCTCGCTGAAGCTCAGGTCCATCACTAGGAGCTTTGGGCTACAGCCTACTTCATACGACGAAGAGTTCGAGATGAGCTCAAACCTCTTGACAGCCAAGCACGTTGATGACATCAATATGACTGGGAAGGAAGATGCTATTGACAAGTATGTCAAGTGTGTTGAAGATACGTTTGGGAAGTGCAAACTGAACAAGCACACATACACAAACTGTGCCGTTCGGTATAACAAGACCGATGATGGGAGCGTCACTCTTGATCAGGACGAATACATCAAACAGCTTCGTCCTATCACACATCCAGAACTCACAGGAGCTGATCCTGAGAGCAAAGCGACAAAGACGATTTCTGATATGTTCGTCAGTCTTCGTGGCGCTCTAGCCTATGCGTTGATCACGCAGGTATGGCTGATGGTCTATGTTGTCTCACTACAACGTATCCAGGAACCGACAAACATCCAGGTACGACGACTAAACGCGGTTACCAGGAAACTACAGGCAGGTCCGAAGAAGATCGTGTATCAAGCTATGACTCCAACAGGAGAAGTTGACCTGCATAGCGATTCTGGCTATCGCCGTCTCAATGGAGATGAAGACGACGAAGTCAAAGGCTATGGTATCCGCGGGGCTAACCTGCTGAGGCGTGGCCACACGCAAGCGGGGAAACCCGTCGTGCACCTGGTGGACGCATACTGCAAGTCTCATCGACTGCAGGTGCGTTCGAGCTACTCTGCGGAAACACTGGCAGCAGCCCACAACTTGGAAGACTGCTACCCGACCATTGTAACGCTCCACGAGCTACACTCGGGACCATTGACCCCCACACAGTTAAAGAACATATTGGAAATGGGTGGTCTATGTATCAAAGTCACTCTGACTATTGATGCCGAGTCTGTCTTCAAGTCTTTGTCTAGCAAAGATCTGAAGAAGCCCACAGAATGTACTCTGCTTGGGCACATTAGCTGGATCCGCCAGATGATGGAGCGCGGAATCGTTGAAAGCGTTCAATGGTGTGACACGCGGGATATGACTGCCGATGGTCATACCAAAGGTAGTATTGACCGCGCGTTGCTCCTACAAGTAATGGCCGGCCAGCAATCCTTCAAGCACGAGCTGAAGAAACATACACCGTATAGGGCGGGCAGGTCGTCTCAGGACGGCCCTGCCTCCCGAGCTAGCGGGGAAACCCGCGTGCAGGTGCGCTCTAGTAGCGAGGAAACTCGCCGGTAGCGAGGCTACTCGCGCGCCCTTGCCTTGTAGGCAGCCGCTGCTGCTTAGCACTGTTTTTCCGCGTAATGTAGAAGTGCGGTGCCTGCTCGTCTCCTCCCCCTCCGACTTTAAACGGAGAAGGTTAAAGGCGAGGTATAAATCGAGCATGTACCGCTGCCGTGTCTGGCTCAAGCCGGGCCCGGCCAAATATATGACTGTGCCTCACCGAGGCGCACGACTTGTATCTGAGATCGGAAAATACCTTTTCCATTGAAGATGCCCCTTCTATCCTTTACTCCAGATCCCATGCTTCGTCTCGCTCTCTTGCTCATGCGATATGAGCCAAAGCCTGGGATATGGCAGCGCTTGAAGCGTAACACATACCTAAGCTTACCAGCATGTTTTCGACTCCTTGGGCCTCCTTTGGGACCGTCTGCGGGCCCTCCTGGGCCATCTGCGGCGCCTCTTGGACCGGCTTGGGGCCCTCTTCGGCCGTCTTGGGGCCGTCTTGGAGGCCTTTTGGGCCGTCATGGGAGCCTCTGGGGCCGTCGTGGGGCGATCTTCGGAACCGTCGGACAGCAGAAAAGGCGAGAAGGCCAAACAAAAACTTCAAACACGTTAGGAAAATCGTTGGCTTTTGCTTCGTGGGGCCCTCTTGGGAGTCCGTTCGGAGGTCTCTTGGGCCGCCTTGGGAGCATCTTGGGCCGTCTTGGTGCCATCGTGGGACATCTTGGGGCCATCTTGGGCCGCCTTGGCCTCCCGAGGCTCTCTTCGGAGCCTCGTCGGGTAATCTTGGAGGCGTCTCGGGCCGTTCTGGCCGCGCGGAGGCGTCAGCATGAGAATCCTGGGGTGGCCTGGGGCAGCCTGGATTTGAGGTTCCCCCCCCCGTTGGCTGTTTGGTGGCGCGGCGGGGCCCCTTAGCAGGCAGTAAACAGGAGGCAGGAAGCAGGACTGGAGAGACAAAAGGCCAAACAGCAAATCACAACACATACCACGTGACAGCAGACCGCACACACCTGCGCAGCCTCGCGCCCCCTGGAGGGGGGCGGCGGATTTCTGGCGTATTTCAGATGTTTCGTCCAGGAGGGCATGCCCGACCTAAGTGTAGGAGGTCCAGCAGATAGACAATATATATATATATATATATATATATATATATGTATATTCGATATGTATATATATATATATATATATATATATATATTCGAACCCGTACACATTCGAGGGAGATGCTAAATCACCCCCGCGCCCCCGACATCGATGTTGATCGCAGTAAGGGCGGTGCTCTGGGGTTTGCATATTTTTGCCCACTCACGCCCCCCCCCCGTCGCCACGCCATCAACATCAATTTCGGGGGGTCTGGGGGCGTCTTGGGCCACAGGGTTCGACCTCCAGCATCCGACTTTTCCACTTCCACGCCCATCCATCCGACCTATCAATCTCACCTCCACCCATTGGACTCCAGAATACACCAGACGTCCAAACATTCGACGTTTCTCACACCACTTTCAGCCACATCGACCGCCAGTCCCAGGCCGACTACCGAGGGCTCCAGCCCCCCTGGGCCGCCCTCCTAGGGCCTGTCCCGCTGGACCGTCATCGCGCGTTTGTCCATGTATCAAGCAGTGGCGAAGCGTCCTGGCGTGCCTATAGCCCTGCCAAACAATGTTCTAAGAACCTTTTGTGGTTCCCACGAAATGTTCTTAGAACATTTCTGGGTGGGACTGTCTTGTTTTATCACGTCGGGTTTATGTTCTAAGAACATTGCTTTTGTTCTTAGAGCATTTGTGGGTTCTAAGAGCATTTCGTGGTATGGCTATAGGAGTGTCGGGACGGTCGGTCCCTGCTGAAATGTACGGTCCCCCATCCCTGACTCCGGATCCGCCCTACTTTGGCTTGTTTTCCAACTTAAAATTGCGTCGGAAATCCACCTATAAGAGGCCGAACAAGTAGGGCGGAAATTGTTGCACCCAGCATAAAATAGGGCGGAAATCCACAGAAACAGCAACAGAAGAGTAGGGCGGAAATTGGCATCAGCGGGGCTTGAAAAGTAAGGCGGACATTCCAAGCCTTACTTACGAATTTCCCCAAAGTAGGGCGGATCCGGAGTCAGGGATTGCCACCCGCCCGATCTTGCCGGAGACGGACCCTGAGGCTTCTCGCTGCTCGCGGCTTCCCGCGGCCCGCCCCAGGGCTCCGGGACGGTCGGAGATCGCCACCCACCAAGCCACCCCAGCCCAACCCGAAGGCCTCAAGCTGCCCTCCACTTCTCAGGAGGGGAAAAAACACACAGACACAGCTCATCGTCGATTCCCCCGGAAATATGGGAAAATATGGGAATTGGGGGGGAGACAAACGCCCAGAACATATGGGAAAAGATTAGATGGGGAGTCCTGTTGCTTGTGTCTATTTATTGTGCGCCCCAGGGCCTCTTCAACTTCCAGTGTTAAGTCGGGCGTGTGCCTCTACAGGAGGAGCAATCAAAAATAGTTTCAGAATAGTATGGGGCCGATTGCTCGATTATGCTTGGGCATCTTTTGATTCTGTTTTCTGTTTCGGCTATTCTTTATCTTTCGCCCACACTCCGCCTGCAGGAGGACACGCCCGACCTGATTCCAGTGTGGGGGAGGGGGTCGAGGAACATGGCGAAGACACACACCTGGAACCCGCACCCCCCCCCCCCGAAGCCCGAAATTCGGGTCTTCGGGTTGGGTTGGGGTGGTCCTGCCCAGGGCCCGCTCCCCTCATTCAGGCGGTCGCAAACATGTATCAAGGGGTCGTGGATTCACGACGGGTCCCGTTCCCATGGGCAATCGCAGATTTCCGCCGCCGAACGCTGCGGCACCGATTCTGGGGGAGGGCACCTCCCCCGAGCCATGGAGTTGGCGACCGCGCGCCAAAGCCATGGCTCGCGAATCCATGTCTGCGCGCGCCCCCGACTCTCAGAGCCCGGCCGCCTCCTGCCAGCAGGTGGCCTCTGGGTTGCTGGGCACGGCGTTCTGCAGCTCGGTCTACGACCAGCTCCTGCCTCGTGTCGCACTGGAGGCGGGAGCGCTGGAGTCCTGGTACTCAGAGGAGGGAAACCTGGCATGTGCATTTTTCATTCGGCGAGGACCATCGAGGAGCAGCCTTGATCATTTGGAGAAAAAACCACGCACGAAGCCGAAAAAAGCACAGGAAATGGACGTCCGAGCGATGGCCAGGAATTGTACCCATACCCCTGCCCGCGCCTCGTTGTTTTCTTCTTTCTGGGCCCCCTGGGCGGCCCTCTCGTCCCCCCCGCTGGGTTCGCCTGGAGATCCCGGTCAGAAGGCACCCCGGGAGAGGTCCAGGGAGTGGCGGTATCGGTACCTTTCGGCGATGGTTACGCCGGTGTGTGGTTTGCGATCGGCACTGTTGGAGCCTGGGGGGCACGACACTGTCCTCGTCGGGCCTCCTCTGGGCGCGGGAGAGCTTTATCGAGGTCCCCGCGCGCCCCTCAGGGTGCCCCCCAGGATGTTCCCAGGGTGCAGGTTGCAAACCACACCCTTTGCAAACCACACAGTTTAGAGTCGCCGAACCTCTTGGTTTGCCCAGGTACCTCGGGTGGCTGCCCGCGGCATTCCCTTTGGCGGACCCGGCGTCCGACTTGTTCCTCTCCACGTATCTGGGCGTCCGGATAGACGCTTGCGGGGGCGCGGACGGCTTCGGCCTGCGGGACTCGTACAGGCTGCCTCTGCTGTACGGTTACACGTGCTTGATTATGGTTCTCGAAGAATCGAAGAAGATCAGTACAACCATGAATTTTCGGAGGTCCGCGCGGATTACTTGGATCGGCGCTGGGCTCACATCCGTGGCGCGCGGAGCGCGCCAGGGGCGGCGCTTGAGGCACCGCGAGGGTCCGCACGCACCTCCGAAAATTTTGTGTTTGGGTCGGTCTTTCTTCTTCCAATCGTCTCAGGATTGGCCACAATCACGCAGACACAATCCTCTTCGATCCCCAGGGAGAGATAGGAATCTGTGGGAAGGGGGGGGGACGACAGCCCAAAAAATACTTGGGAGCCCAGACACGCGACGTCCTGATTTTTGCAGGACGGCGTCCCCAGAAGTCCCGACCCCTTCCCTGGGGCCAGCTTCTCAGCCTGCGTCGTTTTGTTGACGGCCCTCGGGGCCCGGCGAGGGCCCGGCGAGGGCCCCCGGGGGCCGAACGTGGCGAAACAATTTCAGGAGGGGAAAAAACACACAGACATAATTCATCGTCGACCCCCAGGAAAATATGCAAAAATATAGGAAGTGGGGGGAAGACAAAAACCCCAAAAATATGAGAAAAATATAAGGAATCTTTTTATTTGTGTGTATTTATTTGTGTGTCCTGGGGGCCCTTCACAATTGCCGCCCCGCTTCTTTCCACGACGCGATCCTGCCTGGGAGCCTGTGGAGAAGCCTGGGAGCCGTGCCTGCTCCCTGCCGTGTGCCCCTGGGGGCCCCTTCCTGTCCTCCTCGGCGCGCCGAGGGAGGAGATAATTAGTTGAGCGCGCGAGGGAGGGGCGGGGGAGGAGGAGGAGGAGGAGGAGGAGGATGAGGAGGAGGAGGAGGAGGCGGAGGAGGAGGAGGCGGAGGAGGGGGGCCTCGCAGGAAGGCCGCCCCGGCCACTCGGAGAGGGGCCCTCCGTGAGGCCGCGGGGAGGGGAGGCGCTCGCCCTTCGAGTGAGGATCGAGGTCGCGGCGGGAGGCTTTCCGCCCCTCGCGGCCTCCAGGGGGCCTTTGCCGGGCCTCGGGGCCGTCCGAGAACGGTTTGGGTCGAGTCGGGCGTGTCCCTCTACAGGAAGAGCATTGACAAATTGTCAGAACATAGTCTGGGGACGATTTTTATACAATTTTTGATCACCTAGGGGAAATGTGTTGGCTATTCTTTATTCCTCGTCCAAGATCCGCCTGTAGGGGGACTCGGGGGCGGACAGAACCCCCAACAGTGACACGTCGATTAGTGAATTGTCTGTTTTCGGTTCGAGAGGGCGCCGTGGCCGTTATTTTCCAGGCTTGCGCCCGCCAGGTTTGGGCCTCAGGTCGTTTTTTCACAAAGCCACGTTTTGCTAAAGGGGGGTCTGTCCGTCTCCGAGGGACATGCCCGACTTCAGACTCGGGAGGAAAAGCGCCCGACTTCAGACTCGGGAGGAAAAGCCGGTCCCTCGGAGCAGGTCGAGACTCGGGAGCCTTCAGACGGGGTCAATGCAAACGGGCGAAGACCCCCTCTGGCTGACCCGGGTTAGCGAGCCGCTTGTGGCCGCGAGGCGGCCGCGCCTACTGGCTGACCCTGGTCTGCGAAAACCTGCGCTGCAGTTTTTTTGTCCTGCATTGCAGTTTTTTTTTTTGGTTTCCTGCTGACCCGGGTCTGGATTGACCCGGGTCAGAAGATCCCCGAGAGACCTCGGGGGGTCGACGTCGGGATAGAGATCACGACGTCGGGGGCCTGGGAGCCCCGCCCCCCCGTCTGCCTGCCCCCCTCTGGGGCGCGCCGCCGCTCCAGGTGCCCCCCTCCCCCCCCTTTGTTTCCCTCCCCTCTCCTCCTGCTCCTCCTCCTCTTTCTCCTCCTCCACCTCCTCCTCCTCCTCCTCCGCCTCCTCCTCCTCCTCCTCCTTCCTCCTCCTCCTCCTCCGCCTCCTCCTCCTCCTCCTCCTCCTCTCCTCCGCCTCCTCCTCCTCCTCCTCCTCCTCCTCCTCCTCCTCCTCCTCCTCCTCCTCCTCCTCCTCCTCCTCCTCCTCCTCCTCCTCCTCCTCCCCCCCAGGCTCAGAGCCTCGTCGGCATTCTGCTGAACATTCTGAGGCCCGAGGAGAGGGGAAGCGACAGTACCACCGCCACTCCCAGACCCCTTCGAGCCTCGAGTCACGAAAAAAACACGACGGGTGTTTTTTCGCCGTTTTCGGCTTCTGGGGGCCCTTACCGAGCCTCGGGACCGTCCAAAAACGACCCAGGATGAAAAGCCGGTCCCAGGGAAGGGGTCTACACGTAAGTCGGGTTTGTCCCTCTACAGGGGGGATGTTCAAAGATAGCCAAAAAATAGTATGGGGATTTTTTGTACCATCTGTTTTATGTTTAAGTAATTTTTGGGTCAGAGTGAGGGGGCCGAACGGTCATTCATTCCGCGACACACCTCGCGACCCACCCGCGACACACCCCGCGACCCAACCGCGACCCGTCCGCGACCCACCCCGCGACCCGCTCGCGACCCACCCGCGACCCACCCGCGACCCACCCGCGACCCACCCGCGACCCAGCCCGCGACCCACCCGCGACCCACCGTCGACCCACCCGCGACCCACCTGCGACCCAACCCACCCTGCGACCCAACCCGCGACACACCTACATTGTTTTAACAAAAAATATGCACCTGCGGCGGGCACGTTGCACAGCTTGAATTTTTGTTGCGCCTGCGGAGGGCTTCTTCAAAGCCTCGCAGACTGCCGACGTCCCCGCCGCCGCCTCTCTCTTATCCGCAACTGCCGGGTGCTACGTTTTTTCTTTCCTCCACAATCTGCCTGTAGGGGGACACGCCCAACCTAAGTCTAGACCTTTGGGGTCGACGCCAGGAAAAAATCGCGACGTCGGGAGTCTGGGCTACGGGGGGGGGTCGGGGGCGCCTCTCGCGAGGAGGCCCGTGGTGCCTCCCCGAGCTGGGGATCATTGGGGGATGTCTTGAGCGAGAGGGGGGGGGGGAAGGGGCCCACACCGCCCGGAGGAGCCTCCCGGTGGCGCCTCGCGCGGGTGGTGCCCAGATTTCGACGTCTTGGCTTTTGAGCCTGCTTTCCTTTAGATTCAGGCAAGTTTGCTTGCATGGCGTTCGCCCCCGCCCCCCCCCCCCCCCCCCTCCCTCGACCCTCTTCAATCGAACACGAGCGTGCAAGTGCCCCTTTCGACTTGCGTGATTTCCGCACACGTCGAGTCGTCTGCGGCCTGCTTCAGGTTCAGCTTCCCCCCCTCCATGCAAGTCAACTTGCCAGAGTCTATTCAAAAAACAAAAACAGGCTCTCTGCAATGCGGACCCCGGAGGATCCCCGGACCTCTTCCCCGCGCGGTCGGCTTCTTATCCCGAGCCGTTCTTCTGGCGCGCCGCCATAGTTTTTGTTGATGTATTCCAAGACCCCCTCGAGCCATGAAAAAATCACGACGGGAGGGGTGGCCATTACTGGGCCTCGGGACCGTCAAAAAACGATTCGGGATGAAAAACAGGTCCCGAGGAATAGGTCGAAACCTCTGGGGTTGGACGTCATGAAAGAATCATGACGTCGGGGGTCTGGGTTCCCAGACGCCAGAGGTCATGATTCCCAACCATCCTGTGGTGTTGGGTCCTCGTTTTGAAGAGACGGTGCCCCGCGTCTCCTTCCTCCTCTCCTCCTCCGCCTCCTCTCCCCTCCTATCATCCTCATCGTCATCATCATCATCGTCATCATCATCATCCATCATCATCATCGTCATCATCATCATCATCATCATCGTCATCATCATCATTATCATCATCATTATCATCATCATCGTCATCAGCATCAACATCATGGCCGCCATAACCATCATCGTCATCATCACCATCATCGTCGTCATCACCATCATCGTTGTCCTCGTCGCCATCATCGCACGTTTCGTGGCCCCATACGGAGCTCCACCGAAGGTCCCAGTGGGTGTGCCCGCATGCGTCCCGCACGCCCATTTTGGCACACCCCTCACACGTTTCGTGGCCCCATAGGGAGCTCCATTAACGGTCCAAGTGGCGCAGCTCGCATGGCGCCACCGCCCCATTTTGGCACACCCCTCACACGTTTCGTGGCCCCATAGGGAGCTCCACCTACGGTCCAGTGGCGCAGCTCGCATGGCGCCACCGCCCCATTTTGGCACACCCCTCACAGCTTCGTGGCCCCTCAGGGAGCTCCTTTTGGCACACCCCTCACACGTTTCGTGGCCCCATAGGGAGCTCCACCTAAGGTCCACGTGGCGCAGCTCGCATGGCGCCACCGTCCCTTTTTGGCACACCCCTCACACGTTTCGTGGCCCCATAGGGAGCTCCATTCACGGTCGAAGTGGCGCAGCTCGCAAGGCGCCACCGCCCCATTTTGGCACACCCCTCACAGATTTCGTGGCCCCTCAGGGAGCTCCACCTGAGGTCCAAGTGGCGCAGCTCGCATGGCGCCACCGCCCCTTTTTGGCACACCCCTCACACGTTTCGAGCCCCGCACGTCGGAACCGTTCACCTTCCGCACCTCCAAGGTCACGCGGACGGGCTTCCCGTTCTCGCACGGCAGGGTCATCACCACGGTGGCGTGCCAGGGGCGCACCATGCGCGAAGGCGACGGGGCGGGGGACCGGCGCTCCGGGGACGGCCAGACCTCCGGGGCGCGAGCAGTCCGCGGCCAGATCTCGGTCTTGTGGACTCTCGCCCTGGGCCGTCGGCTGCCCGGCGCACTGCCCCCTCGGCCGAGTCGCCCAGGTGTGATCCTGGACTGCGGCCGCCACGAGGTCGGGAACGGCAAGAAGGAGGACGACGACTGGTGGCTGGAGCTCTATGTGCTGCTCTCGCGCGCCACGCGCCACGAGGACCTCCTGCTCATGCGGGCGCCGCGCATCGAGTTCTTCCTGGCAGGACCGCCGGAGGGCCTGCGAAAGCAGCTGGAGCAGTTTGCAGCGCGCACGAAGCGGTGCAGGAGGGAGGCGACGGCCCTCGCCAGGGAGCTCGGCTTCACCGAGTTTATCCGCGAGGCCTGACCTGAGGAGCGCCCCC